AAAATCAGAACCAAGATGGATTATGTAAAGGTGCAAATTTCCAGTGATGAATGTCATTATATTGAATACCTAAAATATACCAATAAAATAAAATTTTAAAAAAGAAAGTAAGAGAACTCTGATACATTATTTAGAAATGAGTCCATCCTTGGCCTACTTTCATCCCTAAGACCCTGACTTGCTAAATTCATGTGCATTGCTTTTGTTAAAAAAAAAAATAAAAAAATTGGGCCGGAGATTTAATTCAGTGGTTCTACTGCTTGCCTCCCAAGTGCAAGGTCCTGAGTTCCATCCCCGGTAACAATAAAAAAAAAAAAAGACTAAAAATTACCATTCCTCTCTCACTTCTTTACCTGAATAATGTGTGACTTTGGCCAAGTATCTTAGTTCTTTAATAGCATTATGTAGTCTTCTTTAAAAGGAAGGGTTTTTTTTTTTTTGTTTCTGGGGATTGAACTCAGGACCTTGCACTTGTGAAGCAGGTGGTGGAACTACTGAGCTAAACCCCCGGCCCGGGTTGTTGTTTATTTTTTGTTTCTAAAACATGAATTTATCTTTAAAGGCATACATTAATGTAGTAGATTCTTATAAAATGTATCGAGATTTTCACTGACAAGAGTTTAATGAGTTTTTACCTATTCAAAGGTGTTAGTTTGCAATTAATTTTCTATCAGTCTAAAATTAAGCCTTGGGCAGGCTGGGGATTTAGCTCCATGGTTTCCCGAATTTGATCCCTGGTACCAAAAATAAATAAATAAAATTAAGCCCTGGGAAAATCTTGGCCAAACAAAATGAGAATAAACTGAATGCTTTCTGCATATGCATAAATAATTGAGTGTAAAGTATACGAATTGAAATTTCAGAAATGGAAAATACGCAGTAATCTAGAGGTTAACTATTCTTTGATAATCATTCTCTTCCAGAAGTTTCTACTGGACTGCCTTTGACTTCATAAGTTCTTAAACTCTTACTTACATTTTTATTTCCTTTAATAAATGTAGATTACCAAGTGACTAAAACAGTTTTAGAGTGGCACTGGGTAAATCAGTTAACCTGGTTTAGCCTTAATTCCTTTTTCTATGAAATGGGGATGATATATGAGAACTCTCATATAGATTACACAATCTTTATGAACAATATACTGTGTAGTGCTGTCTCTCACATATACAAGATATAATTAACAGTCTACCTCCTAAATGTTTTGCTTGGTGGTATGGCTTGTATCTAGATGTCCCTCCAAAGCCTCACGTGTCATAGGTGGGGCTTTTTGGAGGTGGCTGGATCTCAGGAGTATGATCCTGGGATTAAGGGTGTGTGAAAACTAAATTGAATTTGCATTGTTCTAGGTGTGGATAATTGGAAGCCCCACCCCAAGTGTGGGTGGCATCAAGTAATAGGATTGCATCCTGGCTGGAATAAAAGGGAAAGATGGAAGGCAGGCTGCTGGCTGCTGCTGTTTCCTGCCTGCCCTGGCATGGATTGTTTCCCCTCACGCATGTCCCACTGCCCTGCTGCCCTGCCTTGGAACCAGCTGACTATGGACTAACACCTCTACAAACTGAGTTAAAATAAACTTTTCCTCATTTAACTTGTGGGCATCAGGTATTTTTTTCTCATCAACAAGAAAAGTAACTAAGACACTTGGTAAATTGTATTCCTTGGCCTACCTAAGCTAAAATTCTGTCAGTGCACTTTAAGTGTAAAAACAAAAACAAAAACAGGGCCGGGGATTGAGCTCAGTGGTTCCAGCACCTGCCTTGCAAGCACAAGGTCCTGAGTTTGATCCCCAGCACCAAAAAAAAAAAAACACCACCCCCCCAAAAAACAAACCTAGGTTGAAGTTTGTGTCTTTGGGATAGCTCATACAATTTACTCACATTTTAAATGTAATTATCATTGCCTCCAGAGAAGTAGGAAAGGATCCTTGGGATGGATGAGGGGCTGGTTCTTGCAGTGGGAAAGGGCAGCAGCAGAGAAGGGAACTATATGGCTGCAGATGTTGAGGATTTGTAGAAAAATATAGGCATTGCCTATATTTAGATGTTCATACTTTGCAACCTTTTCCTGGGCTTGGGGAATTCCCAAAAATGTGATGGAAAGCCATATTCTTACTGTGGAGACTAAAATTGTAAGTTGTCTACTTTTTCATTAGCTCTTGTAGCTTGTAAGCTGATATGGCTAGAAAACACAATTTCATATTACAAACTGGTGGAATCCCTATCTCACTTGATCTTTTGAGAGTAGCGGCACTGGTCAGGAAAGACTATTACTCTGAGAACTATAGTTAAGTTTTCGAAAGACTTGGATGAATGAGTATCCTAAATCCCTAACTCCTCATTTGAAGCTGAAGGAAGCCTCCTATGTATGTTTTGCATTGGCTGATGACTCCTTAACAAACTCACTTAAAACAGAAGTCAGGCATGGTGGTATATGCCTGGAAACCTAGTACTTGGGAGGCTGGGGCGGTGGTATTGCAAGTTTCAATCCTGCCTGGACAACTCGGTGAGATCTTGTCTCAAAATAAAAAATAATGTGCTGGGGATATAGCTTAGTGGTTAGAGTACTTGCCTAGTACGTGCAAAACCCTATGTTCCCCAGCACCCCAAAAGAAAGGAAAGAAAGAAGGGAAAGGGAAGGGGATTATAGTTTAATGCAAACACTCTGAGTTCAATCCCCAGTATCACACACCCATACAAAAGGTGTTCCTTGGGCCAGGGATTTAGCTCAGTGGTTCCACTGCCTGCCTTGCAAGTGCAATGTCAGAGTTTGATCTCTGGTACCAAAAAAAAAAGAAAAAAAGCCTACATACCCTATCTCTGCAATGCTTTATTGTCTCTCAGACAGTTTGAGTCAGATCCCAGTGTGCCAAATGTAAGGTGTGATCTGGAAGTTTGTAATATATGTATATATTTTCAATCTTGTGGAGAATACTTGTAGAAATAGATACTTTGTATACAGGACCTTGAAAGAACATGACTTTAAATTGGGTCAAATTATTAGTATGAGTACTGCTGTGGTTTGAATGTTTGTCCCCCAGAATTCATGTTGGAAACTTTATTTCCAAAATCATGTTAATGGTATTTGGAGGTGATAACTTTCAGAGGTGACTGGGTCATAGGAGATCTGGCCTCATGAATGGATTAATGGGTTGGGGTAGTAGCTTTGCTTATAAAAGTGAGCTTTCTCTGGCATACCTGCTGTTTTGCCATGTAACTGATGCCTTCTGTCATGCTGTCATGCAGCTGGAAGGGTCTTTCCAGATGGTTTGTAAATGCTACCACCATGTTCTTGGAGTTGCCATCCCTCAGAACCATGAATTCAAATTTTTATCCTTTATAAATTATCCAGTCTGTAATATTTAGATATAGCAACAGAAAACAGATTAAGACAGATTCTGGCTCAGTTTGTAAGCCTATGTGACCTGGAATGGTTCTAATTACAAGACATTTTGACTCTGGAATGACTCATCTAAAATGGAGGTGATATGTTATAAATTAGCTGATATAACAGAAAGGAATTCAAAGGCAGAAAAGGGAATGTTGGAAAAGATTTAGTATGTGTGATGTTCCAATTATATCCTGCATTGAGTGTTTGGTATTGAGAAAAACACTGTGAGTAGAGCACTTGGCATTCTAGAAAAGCTTTTTCGTATGTGTAGGGCAGGGATGGTAGTGGGAGATGCTTCAGCTGAAATGGACTTCCTGATTCTATAGGCATTACCAAGATTACTGTATCAGAGACAAGGCACAGTCATGCTTAGCAATGCGGATATATTCCGAAAAATCTGTTAGGTGATTTTGTGGTAGTGTGAACATCATAGAATTACTTACACAAACCTAGATGGTGTTGGACAATCACTTAATGATTGTCTCTCAGTGCAATGAAGAAAGAGTAAACGTGAGACATCTGAGCTGCTGCTGGCATAACATGGCATACTGTTTTACAGTAAACTTTAAAAAAATGAGTATACTGTAAGACTAAAAGTATAAAAGTAAATACATAAACCAGTAATACTCTTTTATGATCTTTAACAAGCATTACGTACTTTATGTAATGGATGTGCTATACTTTTTAAGATTGGCAGTACAGGTTAATACCATTATCACCACAAACATGTAATATGTTGTGCTGTTATTACTAGGCAATAGGAATTTTTCAGCTCCATTATGTTATGGAATCATCATCACACATGCAATCTGTTGCAGAAACATCATTATGCGGTGCATGTCCATAGTTTACCTAATTGCTAGAGTAGAAAGGTGGGTATGGTTACCCTAATAGGCATCAGAACTCAGGTTAATCAGCAGAGTCTAACACAAGGTTTGGCCTTGGTTAATTGATCAAATGATCTTTGGGACCAAAATAAATTACCTCCATGATCCTATTTGATTTGTGTAACTTAAAATTATTAAGTCTGATTTGAGCCACTACTCAAACATGACCCTCTGATTCCTAGATTCCTTTGAGATACTATCCTGGCATAAAATCACAAATATGTATTATGTATCTTTCAGCATCCTCCAAAGTAACCTGTGGCCATTTACCATAGTGATTATGCAATGCAGAAAGAAATCCTAGACCTTTCGGAAATACTGAACTGGTCTTGTGTTAATTATGATTTCTGGGAATCAGCATATCACACATCTTTTCAGAGCAGAAGTCAGTATGGTAGGTAAATGGAATCTTGACCCAAGACCACCAACAGAAACCTGTTCTCTGGTTACTTCTCCCATTTCCTGAGCATATGGTTAGAGTAGTTATTAAGTAACAACACTGGTTTCCTGAACTAGTTTCTGATATTTTAATGAAGGAACACAAGTGATATCACTTTATAATGCAGTCAACATTGGGAGTGTCCCAAATTACAATTGTTGTTAAGGGAACAAGATTGCTAATATAGAACTAGATGAAATTTTTAAAGTACTTCTTTAGGTTGATGTACCTTATCATAGTTTTAAACTATTTTGTTCCATTTTTTTCTTTGGAAAACCTGCCTTTATATGTGAAATTAATATACTACATATATACTTTAGACAATAATTACATCTTTCTGTATCAAATTAGGCTCTCTGCATAAACTTCATCTCAGCATTGACCAATATGTCATGCTGATAAACATTTAGCAAAATTTGACACTGATCTTCAATTTAACAATATGTATTTTAATCAGATAATCAAGCACTAGTTTGCTTCCTGGGTTTACAGTAGTTTTTCTTTTGAATTGTACAAATGAAAAATAATTTATTTGTTTTTTGTAATATAATTTTAATAGGAAACAATTGGAGTGGCTGATTTTTTTATAGTTATAGAAACTAACCTGCATTTTACTTATTCCTTACTTTACTGAAATGTAACTGCAGAGAGAGAAAAAAGTATCCTCTGGGAACATGCTGTAATAACAGAGATTTTCCTTTATTTCTGCTAAATTAACTGTGTTCATCTAACTCTATCCTCCCCATCATCTAGGTTTTTATATGTCACAGTAGCTTTTTCTTATGCAGTGTTTTCAAACCTATCAGTTATGAATGTTAATGGTTGTAAAAAGTTACTTCCCTTGAGAAATTCAGGTAAATATGTAAATCACTGAGACAAAAACCTAAACTTTATACCAAATCCTTTCACCTAAAATTTTATATTCAGATGAAGCAAGAATGATATTAATGCAAACAAGGTATTTGTTCAACTGATTTTTAGTTACGTCAGTCTAGGCAACTATTACAAAAAAATTTACACAAATACACACACACAACAAAACTTGAAAAACCAACCAAAGGAAAAAAACAATTCCAAAACCCAAAAATCTTCATGTCATAAGGTGACAATTTTTACTTCTTAGTGGGCACAACTAACCAAATGAATACCGGACATGCACTAACTGAGGCACTTGAGATCACCCAACTTGTTTAATTCATAACAAAATCTCTCCTCATTGGGATTTCAGTACTTGTGAACGATTATAAGAGGTCTTAATGTATTTTGACAAAAATCTTACAATGAAGTTTGGTCACCTAGATTACATACTTGTAAAAAATGTATTTCTGTCTCAGGCAAGTATTTCTCAAAAGCTAGTAATAAATTAAAAGATCAGTGTGTGGAGTATGATTTCTTAAAAAATGAGAAAATATTTTAAGCTTTGCATTTGTAAAATATATGAGTGACCTGGAAGAATGCTGTTTCTTATATAGTTAGGGTCATTTTGATATATAAAAGGTTTTGATTTCATTTGTATACTAACCACAGAAAAACATAAATATCATGGATCAGTTCAAGTAGAAACATGATTAAGAATAGTAAAGCATAACATGGGCATGGTAGCACACGTCTGCAGTTCCAGCTACTTAGAGGAGTTCCAGGCTAGCTTGGGTAACACATCAAGAATCTGCCTTAAAAACAAAAAACAAAAAAACAAAAAAAGGCTGGGGATGTAGCTCAGTCGTAAGCACCTTGCCCAGCATATATGAGGCTCCAGGTTTGATCTGCAGCACTGAAGATGGGGGGAAAAAAAAGGAAAAAAGAATAGTGTAGGATGGCTTTCTAAATGTACATGAATTCTGAACAGCAAGCATGTGAAAATTTACTGAATTACTAAATAGTAGGGTGATCTCAGTCAGAACCTTGGCTTCATGTGAAATGTTTCCATTAAAATTTAGTTTTCTTAAAATAAGAAAAACCTGAAAAGCTCCCAAACCAGCTAAGTTAGAAACCGCTAATTTTCTGAATGAAAGCAGCACTATTTTTTATTTTCATACCACTGAATTGAAAGAATAGAGAAAAAACCCCCAAAAAACTACTGTTGGTATAGAGAACTACTGAGCCATCTACACAGACACCTGAGAATAACTTCCCTCTGTCTACCATCTTCTGCAGCTACTTGCTTCGGCTTTGTCATTCACTGACATTTCAACCCTGTCAGCTACTGTATCCTCTGATGCTGACTGGACATGGCCTTCTGACTGTCCTCCAGTGTAAGTGGGGGTGCTATACTTTAAAAGGATAGATTTAAACTGTATCAGAGGTGCATCTGTACGAACACCCATTGGGTCAAAATGAGTTCGGCTTACTCGAAAGCCTGCTTGAGAAAGATAGCACAAAAACTTTTTTAACCTGCAATAAGATGAGAAAAAAATAATTAGGTTACTGTATTTGTATTTCACTCATAATGATACTAAAATACTATACATAAACTTTGCCATTCACTGGTTGTCTTACTTTGGCATGTTCATTCCTTTAATGCTGTGTCTGTGGATGTTGTAATAGAAGGGAGGATGTTCAGTAATGACATCAGTCTTTTGCTTCTTGACTAAATTTGTAATCATTTCACTACATTTTCTCTTTCCTGAAACATACACACACACACACACACACACAATTAGTATTCTTTTAAAAATTATAATTAAGTGCTTTTATAACTATAGTTTCAAGTGTAACTACTCTGACATACCACTTCAATCTATTTATCCAACCTTAATTCTTAAAATGAGATAATTTATTCCAGGTATTTTCACTGCTCTTTATGTAACTTTAATATTTGTTTTCTGAATCAAAACTTCCCTTCTATCAAGACTCAGAATAGCAAAAGTAATTGTGCGCAGTAAGAGCAAAGCAGGAGACACAGCAATATCTGACTTCAAAGCTATACGAGAAAGCAATAGTGACAAAAATGGCACAAAAAAAAAATGGCACAGTACTGGAACCAAAACAGACACATGGATCAGTGGAACAGAACTGAGGATACAGAATCCTTTCCAGACATACTTAACTATTTGATATTTGACAAAGGGGCCAAAAGCATATGCTGGAGGAAAGATAGCCTATTCAACAAGTACTGCCAGAAAAACTGGTTATCTGTTTGTAGAAGAATAAAACTGGATCCTTACCTCTCACCATATACTAAATTAAAGTCAAAATGGATCAAAGATCTAAACATTAAAACAGAATATTAAGCTTTCTGGAAGATAAAATAGGTAAAACACTTGAAGAAATAGGTGTAGGAAAGGAGGAAAGGATTTTCTACAGAGCGTCAGTCGCACAAGAAATAGCAGCAAGCATCAACAAATGGGATTATATCAGACTAAAAAGCTTGTGTATAGCAAAAGAAATCTGTACAGTGAAGAGATAACCTACAGAATGGGAAAAGTATCTGTCAGCTACTCCTCAGACAGAGGACTAATATCTATAATATACAAATTCAAAAAAATTAAACCACCTAAAATTAAAAACTCAGTTAAGAAATGGGCAAGAGAAATGAACAGACACTTCACAGAGGAAGAAATACAAATGGTCAACAAATATATGAAAAAACACTCAACATTTCTGGCTATTACAGAAATGCAAATTAAAACAACACTAAGATTCCATCTCACTCCAGAAAAAATAGCAATCAAATAATAACAAATGCTGCTATGGCTGTTGTGAAAAAGGAACCCTCCTGCACTGTTGGTGGGAATGCAAACTAGTAAAACCATTATGAAAATCAGTATGGAGATTTCTCAAAGATCTGAAATTAGAAAATTCCATATGGGGGCCGGGGATTTAGCTCAGTGGTTCCGCTGCCTGCTTTGCAAGTGTAAGGTCCTGAGTTTGATCCCCAGTACCAAAAAAAAAAAAAAGAAAAAAAGAAATTCCATTATGACCCAGTGATCCCCCTACTAGGTATCTTCTCCAAAGAGCTTAAGTTTTCATACTATAGTGATATTTGCATACCAATGTCTATAGCAGTGCAATTCATAAAGCTAAATCTTGGAAGTAGCCTATATACCCATCAACAGACAAGTGGATAAAGAAAATGTGGTATGTATATATAATGGAATACTACTTGGCTATAAAAAATGACACATAGGGCCAGGGATTTAGCTCAGTGGTGCTGCCACCTGCCTTGAAGGTGCAAGGTCCAGAGTTTGATCCCCAGTACAAAAAAAAAAAAAGACATCATTTGAGACATTTGTAGGAAAATGGATCTACCTGGAAAATATAATGCTGAGTAAAATAAACCAGACACACAAGCTTAAATACCATATGGTATCTCTTGGTTGAGTGAGGCAAAGTACAAGAAAATGATAAAGAATGCATAAAAAGAGACAAAGATCTCTTGCAACAGGGAAGTGGTTCAAGGGAACAAGGGTGAGGGGGTGAGGAGAGTAAGGGGAAGTAAGAAGAATAAAGATATACCATGTACAGGAACCTAATAACCCCAATTGAAGATGCCAAATAAACATGACTGTAGAAAAAGCGTAATTTATTAAACTATATGATATTAAGAGGAATTTATGTTTTCTCTGAAGGCCAACACTAAACTATGGAGCAACTAATATAAAATTATAGCTTATTATAGACCACTACTCTTTCAACTTCAAGACTATATTTTTCTCTATATCCAAAAATACATTTAGCATCAGCAGGCTTTTTTGTTTTTTCCTTTTGCAGTACTAAGGACTGAACCCAGGGCCCTTGTATTGTGAGCTACAACCCCAGGTTTTTTTACTTTTATTTTGAGATGTCTCACTGAGTTTTGTAGGCCAAACCTGAACTTGAGTCCCCTGCCCAGCCTTTCAAGTGCTAGGATTACAGGTGTATACCACTGTGCTCAGGTTTTTTGACTTTGAGACTGGGTCACGTTAGGTAGCCAACCTGGCCTCGGGCTTGTGATTCTCTGGCTTCTTTACATTCAGCTTAGTATCTAAAGTTACTTTTTTTAAAAAAAACAAAATGAACCCTAGATATTAAAGCACTGACGTTTTAACTCTTTACAACCTTTTGATATAAATCTGCAATGTCTAACACAACTACATTTTAAAGTATGCATATATTCTAAAATTCATAAAAGGCTATATAGTAGGGTATTCTGGTTAATCAAATTAAATTGCTATAAATCATATACTGATGAATAATTTTAAAAGAACAATATAAAATTTAATCTGTGCTTTATTTTTTTTGAATCAGTCTCACTATGTAGTCCAGGGTGGCTTTGAACTTGCCATGTAGCCAGGTTGGCCTTGAGCCAGCCATCCTCTTGTTGTACCTCCTAAGAGCTGGGATTACAGGTGTGCGCCACAATAGCTGAATAAAAATTACAATGGCTGAATAAAAATTTAATCTTAATGCTACAATTTTATCACATGTTATTTGATCTTATTTTAGTTCACACACTTCTTCATGACCTCATAGTTCTCTTGGAGGGATCACTGCATATTAAAGATGTGAACAAAGCCAGGTGTGGTGGGGCACACCTGTAATCTCAGCACTCAGGAAGCTGAAGCAGGAGGATCGCAGTGAGTTTGAGCCCAGCCTGGGCTACATGGTGAGTGTGAGGCCAGCCTGAACTATATACACAACAAGACACTGTCTCAAAAAAAAACCAAAACAGATGTGAACAAAGTACATGTTAATAGAAATGCTGAACTGTATACTGTGTGAATGCTGTTAAACCTTAATTTGGTTGTTAGCATAACAGGCTGAAAATGTATTTTAAGAAGGCTACCAAGGCAATCTCTTCTCTTCCTGCCTTTCTCTTTCTATGTCTTTTGTGCTGATATACACATATGTATGTATACACACCCAAATACATACATACCTTGTGCAGTGTTATCTGTTGTGTTATCATCTGTAGTTTTAACAGATATACCGTTTTCTTCTAAAATAAAAACAGATGGGAAAACATTTTATAAATGACATTAAGCAATAATTTAAAGTTCAAATATGCCCATGAAATACTACCCATACATGAATTTCATACAATATACAAGATTCTCTAAAACAGGTTGTAAGAATTATGTATTTTAGTATTCTATAATAGGAGCTTCTTCTCATTACTTATGAGAGGACTAGGATGTTTAGAAGACCCACCCTTATATTAATAGCCAACTAAGACTACAAAAGCCTATTTATTCTGAGGAGATAAAAATGTAGCTTTACTGAATAATATATGCGTAAATCCATTTTCTGTGTCTCAGTGGACCTTAGCAACATTTCTGGCTATACCATTCCTAGAATTATCTAAAGTTCTTCTCTTTCTAGAAAACAGGTATACTATACAGTAATAAAAGTATACAGTATACAGTAATAGATATATAGCAATAAAGTTCCTTTTATCTACTAAAATTAAAAACAAAAAAAGGAGATTATCTTAATAAAATCACATTCATTTCAGGTCCCTGAGTATAAATCTGAAGAAAATTATGTAATTATAAAATGGTAGCAACCAAATTATGATTAGACTTATTACAGGATTTAAAACACATGATTATATTGCTTTTGATTATAATATCAAAGATAAAAGTGATATGGTATTTGTAAGCTAGCTAGTGTTCAATTAGTCACCTTGCTTGTTGAGATTTGAAGGTGCATGAACTGAAAATTGACTCTGAGGAGTACACTCTGATTCAAAAATCAATGTCTTTATTAGGGTCTGAATGTCATCCAATCCATGGTGCACAGATTCAAACAGCATTCTTTTGAGGAACCCAGTACTGAAAAGGGAACTTGACCTGAAAAAGAAAAATAATATATGGAGAATTGGATATGAGAAATGTTTATTTTTATTAAAAAAGTAAGTCTCCATAATTTAACTACAATTAAAATATGTAATTATAGGATAGAGTAATACTGTTATTCAAAAATAATCCATGATTTAGTATTGTTTATTCTTTTCCCACTCCTTTTGTCATTTCAGTTCTTTAAACTAGTAGTATTAGCCAAGAAAATTTCATTGAAGTTAAATTAGTAAGAATTTATTGAGCTCTTGTACGTAGTACAGTACTAAGAAATGTGAGAGTAGTAGGGGTGGGGATGCATGAAGGATATACTTAAATATAAAATACAACATTAATCCGGTAAGTCTAGGGCCAGGGATTTAGCTCAGTGGTGCCACCACCTGCCTCAAAAGTGCAAGGTCTTGAGTTCAATCCCCGGTACCAAAAAAAAAAAAAAAAAAGGCCTGTTAAGTCTAGACAGGAATATAATGTAATGCAGAGGTCTTCACAATGCACATTCTAGTCACTAACAGAAAATCTTTTTTTTTTCCCCAGACAGGTTCTCATTATATAGTCCACGCTGGTCTTAAACTTGGAATGTAGCCCAGGCTTGCCTTCAGGATCCTCTTCCTTAGCCTCCTGAGTGCTTGGATTGGAAGTATGCTGTATGATGCCTGGCTTAGAGTAAATCTTAATTCTTGTGTATATATTGGGGTGGGTGATGGGGGGGGAATCACATAGAAGAATTACACATGATAGTGGTAGTGTAGCTTAAAAATGGCCCGGAGGTGAATATGATATGCTTCCCATTTAGGAATCACAAGTATAACTGACAAAATATGAAATTTCAAGTCAGATAAACCTGGATTATAATCCTGGTTTTACCACTTACTATGTGATCTTGAGAAATTACTGCTTTTGAGACTTGAATTCCTCAAATGAAATTGAAAACAAAATTTCTCACAAACTTGTTATGGGAATTAAATTGAGATAGTGGATGTTCAATGCCTAGTACAAAGTATATCCTTAAATGAATGCTAGTTGTTATTATTAGGGTTAGAAAATATATATGAAAGGCTGTATAATTAAAAAAAAATTTTATTTTATTGGTACATTTTAGGTATACAATATAATGACGTTCATCATTGGAAAATTGCACCTTTACATAATCTCTCTTGGTTCTTATGTTTTCCCCTTCCCCTGCCCTCCCTTCAACCCCTCCATCCCTCCCTATTTACAAAGACTTTGTTTCCATTTTTAAATTTTCTCATATTAATTCCATTCCCTTCTTTCCTTTCCCCTATCTCTCCCACTTCCCCTTTGCCCCTTTTCTTCCTATTTCACATTACCTATTATACCTTTTAGTCCTTATTTACACTTTCAGTTTCTCACACTAGAGAAACTATTTGATATTTACACATGTGTGTCCTATTTATTTCACTTAAGAGTATCACCTCAATGTGCATCCACTTAGCTATAAATGTCTCTAATTATTCATTTTTTATGGCTGAGTAGTACTCCATTTTATAAAAAACCATTTTCTTTAAGGGATGTATAATTTTAAAGTATCAAGTAAAAAATGATCAAGTACATTACTGTAATTCCAGCACTCTAGGAGGCTGAAGCAGGAGGACAGCAAGTCAAACCCAGCCTTGGCAACTTAGTGAGGTCCTTTCTCAAAAAAGGCTGGGTATGTAGATCAGTGTGAAGAACCCAGGCTCAACATCTGGTACCACCCTCTACTTGTACCCACAAAATCAACATGGGTTGAAGCACTAAGGAGAGACTTCAAAGGGAAGTACAATTTGAATAGAGGTTAGGAGAGGGAGAGAGGGAAGGTATTCTAGATGAGAGTAAAGGCGAAAAAATGGCTTTGAGTCTGGAAAACACACAGCATGATTTAGAGCTTAGTCCTGGGAACCAGAAAACTGAAATTTTCGACCCAACTATGCTAATAATTACCAATGATCTTTTTTCCTTTGTGATACTGGAGATTGAACTCAGGGCCTTTGCACTGAGCTACCTATCCAGACTTATTTATTTATTTATTTATTTAGAGATAAGGTCTCTCTCAGTCATTGACTTTTCCAGGCTGGGCTTGAACTTGCAATCTTCCAGCCTTAGCCTATGGGGAAATAACTAACTTTTTGGGTGTGGTTTAGCAAGTACTTAAAAACACTATACCCTAATTTCCTCATCAGTAAACTGAGGGTGCTGGATCTTCCTTTGGATTCAGTAATCTATTACTCTTACTCGTTTTTTTTTTTTTTTGGTTCCAGAGATTAAACTCAGGACTTTGTACTTGCGAGGCAGGTGTGGTGCCATGGAGCTAAATCTCTGGTGCTGTTATTCTTTTTTTTTTTTTTTTTTTGGTACTGGGGATCAAACTAGGGACCCCTGCATTTGCAGGGCAGGTGGTGGAACCACTGAGCTAAATCCCTGGCCCCAAGAAAGTGCCATTTGGGAGTAACTAGCCACTGTTTTTTTGGTACCGGGGATCGAACTCAGGTTCTTGTGCTTGCAGGGCAGGCGGTGGAACCACTGAGCTAAATCCCCGGCCTAGGCGCTGTTATTCTTTATTTCTCTAGTTCTGACATCAGTAAGTAGGATCACTGTGTAGGAGATGATATGGCTAAGAGAGTCCTGGAAGATAAGGCTATGTCATTCTTTTTTTTTTAAAAACTATGTCATTCTTATACTCTTTACAAAGGATAAATATAAAACAATGGGTACAAACATATTTTCCATTTGGATCAACATTTAAAGTTTAGTAGATGGCTAAGACTGACCTTGTAAAAAAATGAGGAAGAAATTTACAATGATTCACATCACAATGTTGTTAGCAATCTTAAATTTTTATAATAATCTCTAGTAACAAAATTTAAGGTATGGATTATGATTAAAAACAATTTAAGGAAAAAAATTAAGATATTAAAAAACATAGTAACGAGCCAGGCATGTTGGTACATGCCTATAATTCCACCACTCTGGAAGACTGAGGCAGGAGGATTGCAAGTTTGAGCCCAGCATGGACAATTTAGCAGTGACTTAGCAATAACCTGTTCTCAAAATAAAAAATAAAAATGGTTGGGGATATTGTTTAGTGTGAAGGCCCTGGTTCCATCCCTAGTACTGAAAAATAAATAAAAATTTAAAAAGGGCTCAGGATGTACTTCAGTGGTATAGTTTGATTGTGTGCTGAAAGTGTGCTAAGGGAGCAGACAAGTGAGGTTTTCCCTTGCCCCGTCTCTCCCTGCTCAAAGTTCTTCCTGAGAGGCAATGTATTTGGACAAAGCCTTCAAATAAAAGTATTGCAAAACAAACAAAAAACAAAGCAAAAACAAAAACAGTAGCAGCAGCAAAACACGCTAACTTGTTACCAATGATGGAAAAGCACACATACATTAAATATTTGCAGTTGTATCCCATCCAAACAGCTTTACCTTTCTCGTCAAAAAGTAATTCCTCTAAGATCTTTTATATTAGTCGATTCTTCTATAAAAAGTTACCACTATCATTTTATAATCATGACTTAGTTCTACAATGATCAATTTTAAGTCTCCTTTTTACCATTCAGAAATGAATCATCTAGGTTGTAGCTCATACAGGTTTCTCTTTTACCCCAATGCCTCTTAGGTTTGTCATAAAATAAGGAGAATAACAGAATAGTAGAGGTTCAAGATCATCGAAAGGGAGCAGTCATAATTATTTGTCTAAACTTAAAACTGAATCTAAATTTGCTTGCCTTTTACCATATACAGTTAAAAGTTAACAATCAATAAGTCAATATCTCAATCAATGCTGAATATGTTGTTAGGCTTAGGTACATACCACAGAGGTCCAAGTTCTATTGCTGTCTTTCCAGGCATGCTTCCATGACAGTTACAGGGCAACTGTCTATATGGGTTTTCTGTTAAAATATAAATAGATAAAAAGAGAAATCAAAGGAGAAATAACTAATGCAAATAGTACTAATTTTTATCACAGCTACTATATACTGAGGATCTACTATGTGCTGGGCATTGTTTCCAAGTTTTTTTTTTTTAAACATATTTGAACATTTTAATCCTAACAACTATCTGAAAGTGGATGTTAAAATCTCAATCATGCAGATTAGAAGATTAAAGCTTAAAAGCTATTAAAGTTAAAAATTTATCCATGTCAAATGGCATATTAGAGGCCTAACCGGAACAAGTTTTTAGTTATTACATTATATGAAATATAACAAGAACTTATATATTTTAAAATTAGCAGATTGGGGTATAATTCATGTATAATAACATTTATATATTTAATATGAAAAGGTAGATAAATTCTGACAAAAGTATAATCCCATGTAACTAGCATCCCAATCAAAATATAAACATTTCTTAAGTCAATTTTTCTGTAACAGGAAAGAAAATGAGTTACTCTACTTCTATAACAGACTTTATTCATATTTAGCCTAAAATATATGCTAGAAGAACCTAATTCAATTTAAAAAAAAAATGGGAGGCGAGAAATAACCACAAGGAAATTGGGGTGGTTCTAGCATTATTCTTCATTTCCAAAGTAGGGCAATAGTCTATAACAGGACTTTAAAATTCACTGAAGGCCCAGAATAGTCATTTCATTTTTATTCTTTTGGTGGTGGTGGGGGCTGAATCCAGGACTTCATGAATGCTACATAAGTGCTCTACTAGTAAGCTAAACCACCAGCCCTCAAAATAGTCTTTTTAAATTACAAACTCCAACTAACCTCTACCATCTCCAGGCTATTCGTGGGATGATCATTTATTTTCTCGGAATGGCCTGATTCAACCAACCAGTCTTAGATATACCCAGAATACAGGATGATGATGGTAGGGACACAGGTCTCTAACTTCTTTCTAAATGAAAATATTACTTCATAGGGGCCGGCGATTTAGCTCAGTGGTTCCGCTGCCTGCCTTGCAAGTGCAAGGTCCCGAGTTTGATCCCCAGTATCAAAAAAAAAAAAATTACTTCATGTGATTATATGGCAGAGGGATTTTATTAAAATAAGGAACAAAGGGGCCGGGGATTTAGCTCAGTGGTTCCGCTGCCTGCCCTGCAAGCGCAAGGACACGAGTTTGATTCTTGGTACCAAAAAACCTAAAAAACAAATAAAATAAGGAACACGTTGGGATGCCCTCTATTTCCACCATCATATACTACTAAAGTACTTGAGCAAAATGAAAAGCATACTGTGTTCATAGTAAGCTTCAAAATCATAGTATCTATCTTCCCTAATTTAATGTGCTCAACAAATATCAACTGGATTACTATTTTATTAAGAAAAAAAGATCCAATACCAGGAACACTGAAAACAAATAGCTTTCAGGAGGGATTGCCTTAATAGATAGTAAATAACACTAAAAAGCCACTAATAAAAATGGTGTGGTAGCCACATATGGTATGTACATATACTATCAGCTATTTAGGAGGCTGATGCGGGAAAATCATACAAAGCCCAAGAGTCCAAGACTAGCTTGGGCAACATAGTGAGACCCCATTTCAAAATCCAAAAAGCAAACCAAATAAAAAGATCACAGTGTGGTAGAGGTGTATGAATAGATATTTAATCACTAGAACAGAATGGGAAACACAGAAACAAATTCAAATACATATGGAACTTAGTATAACATAAAGGTTGAAGTCAGGCATGGTGGTGCACACCTGTAAACCTAGCATTCAGGAGGCTAAGGTAGGACTACCGTTGAGTAAGAGGCCAGCGTGTGATACACTGTGAGTTTAAGGCCATCCTGAACTGCACTGCAAGACTCTGTCTCAAAAAACCAAAAAAAAAAAAAAAAAAGTAAAGTATTCTCAAATTAGTGGAGAAGAGATGACCTATTTAATAAAACATACCCTAATAAGAAAGATCTTTACAGATACAATCCAGACTATGTACAAGTTTGATTAACCTTACAACAGCAACCACCACAAAAACTTCTGTATTAAAAAAAACCTAAGTGACAAAATGAGAAAAAAAAAATTGCAACTCTTATAAACTCTACTATACAGAGCGTGCTTAAAAATTTGTATTAAAAATACAAAAAACTAAAATTTTTGCCAGCTACTCTTCAAATGGAGGACTATATCTAGAATATACAAAGAACTAAAAAAAAAAAATTAAACCACCTAAAATTAAAGATCCAGTCAATTTAAGTCCATATGGCATCTCTCATCTGAGCAAGGCAAAGCACAAAGAAAATGGTAAAGGATGGATAGAAGGGGACAAAGAGACGGAGCTTCTGCAATAGGGAAGTGGTCCAAGAAAAAAGTGTGAGGGGTGAGGAGGAGGGTAAGGGGAAATAAGTAAAGATATGCCATGTACAGGAACCTAAAAACCCCAATTAATATAAACATTATATGCCATAAACATGAGTTAAGATTAATGATATCAACAAGAATGAAAAATGGGATAGGGAAATTGGAAGAGAAGGGGGGAGGGTAAGGGAAGGGGTTAAAAAAAGAAACCAGTTGGGCTGGGGATTTAGCTCAGTGGTTTCACCGCCTGGTGTGCAAGCCTAAGGACCTGAGTTCAATCCCTGGTAGCAAAAAAAAAACAAAAGAAACCAGCTATAATATGTATAAGTAACTGCTATCCAAGATGACTGTAAACTGCATGAACTGCAAACATGTAATAATAAAATGAAAAAATTTTTAAAAATACAAAAAACTAGATAAGTGTTGTGGGGTATCCCTATAATTCTAACACTCAGGAGGCTGAGGTATGATACTGAGTTCAAGGTCAGGCCGGGTACTTAGCAAGTACAAAAGCAGCTTAGACTACAGAGGGAGATCTTGTCTCAAAACAAAAACAAAACAACCCCCACCATCTAAGAGCTTACAGAAGATAATTCTGAGGGCACAAGGGACAACTTTCCCCTCGTGTCCTCAGGCCTGGCATACAGCAGAGGTTTAATAAATGCTTACTGAATAGTTTTTAACTGATAGCTTTTTATGTTCATCCAACATGAACATTATTTTGATTTTTAACAGTCCAGACAAAAAGGTAGTCTGACTTATATTCCGAAGAATAGGTGACAATGGAAATCAAGTTATTTCTAGACGTTTCAATACAAGGCAGGGGCTAGAGAGCATAAATTCTACAGAATGAGAAAATAATTTTAATAAAATCAAACACCTTGGCTATTAGCCAAAGTTAATCCAGTATAATAAATAACAAAGTTAGCACTGTAATCATTAAAGTCAAAGGACAATAATATGTATAATTAGGTAAAAACTTATTCACTGAAGACTTAAAAATAAATTAAATTTAATATATGGTCATGAGGAACTTGAATTTACCTTCTACCATATTACCATCCTTCTGAAAAATTCTTTCTTCACACCACTGACAATGAATCAAGTACTGAATCTTTTTGGCTGTTTCATCTGCTGAAGTAGGTCCCCTCAAAACTCTCACAACCACCAAGACAAAATGTTCTAGAGCCACTGCAAATAGTACTTCTATGCCTTTGTTACATCGGGCTGCAGCTCTATAAAAAAACAGTAAAGTTATTTTGGAGTATTATAATTTTCTTTTGTAGGATACTATACAGACAATATTGACCTGGACAGTAAACTCTGGGAAGGTCATGGAAAATAAAAAAAAATTCAATTTTTAGTAGTAGCATGTTTTCCAAAGGTCAGTACTGTAACTTTTACACAAACTGCAATACACTAAATAAAAGGATCTTCAATTCTCCAGACATACGATATAATGTCAATAAGACTATATTCTCTGGTTTTCAGGAGGTCACTTTGCCATCACTGTCTTCCTTTTTATCTATTTTTTCCTAGAAGTTTCATCCAAACAATATACATTCACTGAACACGGATAGCAAAATATTGTATGAACTGCTGAATATTCAGTGAACAATGAATAGTCAAAGTATTTTCTATCTTTAATTTTACAGATATTTTGGATTAAGTTCTACTAGATACACCATTTCTGAATTTGCTGCTGTCATACTATAAATGTTTTAAAGTGTGTACAGTAGGCTGCTGGGAATGTGCACAATGTGCATCAGAGTTTTCAGTTAATTAGAAAAACACTGAAGGTCCATGAAGTCTAATAATCGGTATTTAAACTGAAGTAGTAATTTTTAAAAACATTTTAATTATACATAACGTGATATACCAAAATAAGAATGTCTGAAGTAGTAATTTCCATCAAAATGCTGTACATCTTGTGTTTGGGCGAGTGCATTGAGCTAGGTGACTGTTATCTATACCTACTTGTTCAATTACATATTATATTATCATTCAAGCATAACATTCTGCATATAATAGGTGCTGAAAAAAGTAGTCTTCCTTTTTTCAACTGTTTAGAAATCTTGATGAGAAACAACTTGCTTTATAAGATCATTTTGCAGAATCGTTTATAAGTTGTCATTTTATTCAAACTATATAAAGATAAAAATGTTAACAAGTGATTATTTCTAAGTCTAAAAACAATTTTTATTTTTCCCTTTCATGATGCTACCTCTTATCTACTTTATTGAAATAAAAGACTTGAAACTGTCACTTTTTCCTTGATTACTACTTTATTTCAAAATGGAGAATAAGGTGAAATATTTCAGGTATAAACTTAAATAAAATTCTAACAACACAGATTAAGAACACATTAAATCAAGTCAACATTAAAGATGTGATATGGAATTTATATTTCATGCAGATTTTGCAGAATGAAGTAAACACTCATCTGTAATATCTTTTAATCATATACCAAAACATACTAGGTACATTGTTGGCAATTTGGTACCTTGCCACTGCAGCTACAACAATTCTGGCTGCTAGTTCCTTGTAATATTCAGTTCGGACAATGTTACAGCCATAGTGACGTCGCGCAACATGCTGTGCTTTGGCATATAAGGAACTGATATCTGTAGAAGTCACCGATACTATGCCAAGGTTTCTTATATTTCTGAATGCAGAATCTAGGTAGTTCACAGATGTTCCAAAAGGGTCTAGGTGTCTAAAATCAGAAAGAATGTGGACATACTTAAACTCATATTAGAAATCAAAATTATACCAGTATAATAAATTTTTAATAAGATGCTATGTATTCAAAAGTTGTTTGCAAATCTATTTTAAATATGTAATTGTTTTTAATAATAAAATGAGGGGCCAGGAATGTAGATCAGTGATGGAGTGGTTGTCCAGCATGCTTAAGGTACTGTGTTCAATTCCCAGTACAGTAAAAAAAAATTAAAGTAAGTACTAAAATGGTCATACGATATGTCAAGCATGTAAAAATAAATGGAACTAAGAGGAAAAGTTCATGCCTAAATATTTTATTTCAAATCCATTTTATTTCAAATGCCAGACAATCTAATTGCTGAGGCCAATGCCAAAAACTATTAATTTTTTTGTTGCTGTTTTTCTCTTTGGTACTGGAGATTAAACCCAGGGAGTACCCCTTTTTTTTCTGAGACAGAGTCTCTCCATGTTGTTCAGGCTGGCCTCAAATTCTTGGCAATCCTCCTTTCTCAGCTTCCTGAGTGCTGGGATTATAGACACCCACCACCATGACTCAGCTTGCTCTCAACCCTTTTTTTTGGGTACCAGAGATCGAACTCGGGACCTTGTGCTTGCGAGGCAGGCACCAGAACCACTGAGCTAAATCCCCGGCCGCTGTCAACCTTTTTTAAGCAAATTTGAGACAGGGTCTCATGAAGTTGCCCAGGCTGGACTTGAACTTGTGATTCTCTTGCTTCAGCCTCTTATCAAAAAGTCTATTAATTTAAATAAATAACAACAAAAATTGTTTAAACTTTTATCTTATCCCTTTTAATTTCCAGATTTGCTTAACAAGGGACATAGCAAAAATTTTTTACTTACATGAAATCAAAAGATCTCAAATGCATTAGTACATTGGCATCCATTTTGGTCACCTTAATATTACCAAGATTTTCCTCTCCTTCTTCAAGATTATCATCACTCCCTTTCTTTTCTTTACTGTCCACCACAACTTTCAATTTGTTTAAATGGCAGTTTTCCTGAATCAATGTCACCGAGTTTTCATTCAAGTCATTAATTGTAACTTTGACTGCATTTCCAAGATGTTTTGCCCACTGCAATCCCATTATACCTTGGCAGAAATAAGGAAAATAATGTTTTAAAATTATAATAAAGAATAAAAATAGTATAATAAAGTAAACTTTTTTTTTTAATTAAAAAATTTGTTTTTGTTTTTTTGAGACAGGGTCTCGCTAGGTAGCTCATGCTGGCCTTGAATTCACTATAGAACCCAGGCTGGCCTCGAACTTGCAGCAATACTTCTGCCTCTGCTTCCCAAGTGCTGGAACTATAAGCGTGTGCCACCACACCCAGCTATGATACACTTTAATAAATAACAAATTCCTTCAAAATCTTTAATATTTTATTCATTCATTTTTTTTTTTTGTACCAGGGCTTGAACTCAGGTCCTTGCACTTGCACAGGTGGCAAAACCACTGAGCTAAATCCCCGGCCCTATTCATTCATTTTTAATATTTTATTCATTTTATCAATATTTTATTCATTCATTTAATATTTATTTATTCATTCATTCATTCATTCACTTAACAGTAATGGAGATTGAACCCAGAGCCTTCACACTGAGGTATGTCCCCAGCCCTTTTTAAAACATTTTTTCTTTTGTGATATGGTGTTGCTAAATTAAACTGCAAAGATGCCCAAACTGGGCTCCAATTTATGATTCTCCTGCTACAGAATCACATGATGCTGGGGTTATAGGTGTGTACAACCACACCTGGCTATAATTATTCTACTCTCTCACTACGAAGTTTCTAAAAACAGATACCACCAAAAATGTGCCTGAAAGATTTTAATAGTTCTTATAATAGTTTATGACCCTCAAAGCCTCTATGTATGTTTTTCATTTTTGTAGACTAGGTTGCTGATTACATTTTTCTTATAGAATAGTTTTTCAAATGTAATCTTAAAGAAAAACCTAGTATTTAATATAAATAATGTAAGTAATGGTGGGGCTAATGCTTAAAAGAAGGATAGGAAGCTGGAAGTCCTCTTGCTAAAGTTTACCTTCATGTACCAAAATATTAAACAACATTTCTAGAACATTTTTCAAATACTGAACAAAAGCATCATTCCTGAATTAATAAGAACTGTGTAATGTAAGCAAATGATCAAGAAGAATTAAGATCAAGAATGCTCCTTCTCACAGGCTTCCTATGTCTAATGGATCAGTCATATAAATAAGGGACACTGGACAACTGGAAATTGTGACATAAGCCCAGGCAATACGGCTTAGAAAAGTTCCACCATATGAGAAGTACTGCCCATCTCCATGTATCTCATAAATAGAAAAATACCTAACTACTGTGTGTTAAGGACTGTACTTTATTTTTATATTCTCACAATAAACCTGTGAGGTGAATGCTAACATTCTCATTTTAGGGATGGCAAATGTGCAAAATAAAACGACTGCTACAAAATTGAGACAAACTTACAAAAGCACATTAAAAAGGCTGAAAAGATATTCCTTATATATTTATTACCTTTGATGATTTTGGGTTTAACAAAAAGTTAAAAAAAAAAAAAAGGTGTGTTAGGGAAAACTAACACTGGGAAATAAATCTGGAAAAGTAGGTTGGGATGAGATTATGAAGGAAATTAAATAGCAGAGAAGTCTAGACTCCAGGCAATAAAGGTGCATGAATGAGCAATAATGCTATCAATGCTATAATTCCTGCAGAGGAATGGCAGTAGCATGCATGACAAATTGGAGAGAAGAGACAAACTGGGAGTAAAAGTATCACTTAGAGGCTACCTCAGAAGGACTGTCACTAAATCATTAAGTTATGGATATGGAACAGAAAAGGTATGGGAGGTGTATTACCAAAAACAAAAACAAAAAAACAAAAACACCTAGAGGCTAAATTGATGTGAGGAGGATGAAGGAAAAAAAAATTAAAAATGATTCAAATTCTACCTCCAAATGACCCAGAGGATATCACTTAGAAGCTATCACTTATCATTTTTTCCATATTTGCTTTGAGATATTACTAATGATGATACTGATGGCAGCAGCAATAATAATAATACAATAAAGATGATACCTAATAGTTTTATAGCACTTGCTACTTAACAGGTACTCTTCTACTGACTTTTACTGTATTAATTTACTTAAATCTTCACTATTTTAAGATGGGTACTAACATCTAACCTTCCCTCCATTCCCTTTCTAACCGATAAGGAAACTGAGGTAAATATCCTGTGGTCATACAGCATGAGATGAAGTTGGGACTTGCACCCAGGTTACTTAAATCTTCATTAGTGTAAGTTGGGTATTATTGTCCCCTGCTTTTTATAAATGAGTGAACTGAGGTATAATCTCCCGTGGTCATGTAAGTAGCCTGCAATGAAGCTGGGAGTTGAACTCAGGCAGAACAGCTCATAGTTCGGGCTTTAAACCACTGCTTTTCTCTAGGAGAGGAGATTAGAAAGGAGAACTTATTCATGCTTTGGTACAAGCTTCTCAAGAGTATAACCCTATAATATTTATGAAGAAAGATTTGGACTGAGTAAAGTGGCTTTTTAGAAATTGTTTTCTGTTTCTATTACATTTATTATAAAAATTCTTTTGGGAAAAATGTTTTAAATCTTCAAAACTGAAGGCTAGCCAATGATCATCATGCTACAAAAAGACTCATCAGTTGCAAGTATTCGTGAAAAAAAAATTCCTAACTAGATCTGAACAAACTACCAATTTTCAAAATGTAGGAGACAGAAAAATGTCATACGATCTATGGCAATACAATTAGCAAAAACCTTGATAGAAGAAAATCTACAGGTCAAAAGACTTATGTCAACAAATAATTACCCCTCCCCGTCCATATACGCTCAAAATGCCAGAAGCAAACACAGATTAGGACAACAGACTTTGGATTCTAATTTGAATTCTTCTTTTTTGGTACCAGGGATGGAACTCCGGTCCTTGCGCTTGAGGCAGACAGCAGAACCACTGAGCTAAATCCCCAGCCCTCTAATTTGAATTCTTTAAGATGAGAGGATTGAAAATACTAAATAATTATTTGTAATCTTTTTAGGAGTGATGATGATACTGCAGTTCTTTTTTCCCTTCTCAGTGCTAGCAATTGATTCCAAGGGCCTTCACTCTGAGCTACACCCCCAGACTTTTATTTTTCCATTTTGAGATAGGGTCTCACTAAGTCACTAAGTTTCCCAGGCTGAGCTTGAACTTGGAAATGTCTTGACCCAGCCTCCCAGAGTGATGGGATTATAGGCATGTCACGAGACTGGCTTGTGGTTCTGTTTTTAAAAAGTCTTTATCTTTTGGGCATCTGACTTAAATATTTACATGAAATGAAATGTCCATGATTTATTTAAAAATTTAGGGACAGAGGGACTAGGGCAGTGGTGGCGAACCTATGGCACTCAAGCCAAGTTCTTTTTTTCTAAACTAAAACCTCAGAATTCAGGTTTAATAGCAGTGCTGGCACTTTCATAAATAAGTGAGCTTTGGGTTGTAATTTGGGCACTCGATCTCTAAAAGGTTCACCATCACTGGGCAAAGGTATGTGGCATGGGTTACAAATAAAACAAGACTGAGAATGAGTTGATTATTTTTGAAGTGAGTGATCGATACAAAAGGATTTGTTATACTCTTAAAATATCCGAAATTTTTCACAATAAATTAAAAAAGTGTTTGGATCTTTACATCAAAATATTTTGCTAGATATATTATCAATTTAATTTCCTAAGAAAAGATACTGTATAAATCTGATAAAATGGGATTTCAAACAAGCTTTCTTACTTACCAGTGGCTCCAAAGGCATCTAGACATTCCAAAGGCTTTCGTTCCTCAGCCAAAGCAGCCAATGTACAAAATATTAGCTGTCTAGAAGGAGGCAATAATCTGAAATAATTTTACTGTAGTATGGGTTCAGCGGTGTAGGTTTATTTCATTTAAGAAAAGTGAGAACAAGGGTTCCCTAATTACAGTACAAACTATTTTGAAAAGAAATCTAAAAAAACAGAATCCCAATTTAATAGTATAAGACCTAAAAGTTTGTGAAATAAAACAATGAATCTAATTGGATTCTATTTAATAAACAATCACTCATTTACTTGTTAATACAATTTGCCTACAAAAGGACAAGCCTATTCAGTAATTATATAAAGTCAGGCCTATTTTACTCTCTGACAAACTGGCTTGGCAGAAAAAAACAATCATTCTGAGAAAACGTTAAAATAGATGAATTTCATTCTATGTGTAGTTTTAAATTTTAATCTATCAGAACACAGAGGTTAAGAAAAGGTACATCTGTAATGGTTTGAAACATCCTATAACCCTAATTTCAATTTTCTTACCGATTTAGTTTCATTTTGGGATTAAAATAGGAATCTGTTTTCTGAGGAATGGAATAGTTAGGACAAACTTGTACATCTGTGTCTGCCTCTTTCAAAATTTCATTAGATGATTTAGCAGTAGAAGCTAAAATGGAAAAAAAACCAAATTTCAGAGAAATACATAATTCTAGACATCTAAAAGTTTGTATTTAAATAATACAGTAACTATATTATTTTGTATTAATGCAAACAGGTGGGCAGGTTAAAAAGTTTATTCATCACTGTCTCTGCAAAAGAGTTATATTCAGGGAAGTATTTGGTAAATGAAAGTATTATAAGCATTGCTGTTCTTTTTTTGTTTTTTTGAGACAAGGTCTCCCTTTGTAGTTTAGGCTGGCCTTGAACATACTATGTAACCCAGGCTGACAGGGTGGCCTCAATTGACGGTAATCCTCCTGCCACAGTGTCCCAAGTGCTGGGATTACAGGTGTGTGTCACTACACCCAGCAGTAAGTGAAAATTTATGGTGAATGAAAAAGTGTAATCTTGCACATCAATACATTTGTATTATGATACACCTAAGGACAACCACCTTAAGATGATAGCACAGAATCCTAGAATACATTTATGATTCATCAAACACTACTACATATTTTATAGTGGTATAATTGTTAAGAAATGAAGGTTCTATGAGAAAAGTAAGTTTTATAGAAAATTATTTCAGTAACTTTTACATACTACCATTCTAGATATACAGAAGTTTATTTTATTGTACAGAAGTTTATTATATACCATACATACTTTAGGCCATAAGGTTTAATATAATTCTTTCTTTTGCAAGACAGGGTCTCACTATGTAGTTCAGGTTGGCCTCCAACTTGAGACGATCCTCCTGCCTTAGCCTCCTGAATGCTGGGATTACAGGCACCACCATGCCCAGCAGGCTTAATATAATTCTTGAGAAAGGCCAAGCAGTTATTAATGATTTTATATCACTTAGGATAAAGGTCTTTATTTCACTGTATATCCTCTTTCCAGTGTTTTCCAGAAATAAGTATAACACAGTTACTGGTATAAAAGCTGTCATTAGGAATATAATTTTATAATCTTTCATATACCTATATTTTCTTGATGCTACTTATATTTTTTACACCATTTACTAAATATATGTTAAAGGTTATTAGGAAACTCACAAAAAGAAAAATATGAAGTGATGTATCAGTAGTCAATTGAAATATTTAGTTAAACCAGTGTATTTTATCTGCCAATTGTGTAAAAAGTATAACTGGATTATTTTTTAAGGATCTACTTAATAACATGTTAATGAGATTGCTCAACTTACCAGCAATATAACTGGATTTAGTCTCTCCTTTATTCACATGGCGCCTAACATGTCCTAGCATATCAGTTCTTCTGGTGATTGTTGCTGAACAAATGATACAATGATAATGGGCGCCCATTTTACTGGATATCTATGGAACAGAGTAAGTTACTAAAACATTAAGTAGAGGGGCTGGGCATTTAGCTCAGTGGTTTTGCTGCCTGCCTTGCAAGCGCAAGGTCCCAAGTTCAATCCCTGGTACCAAAAACCAAAACCAAAACCAAAAAACATTAAGTAGAACTTTCAAGTTGCAAATATGGTAATGTTTCTGGAGTGTAATGGTATACAAGATAATGTTAATCTTGCTATGTGACTTTGAAAGAATTTGAACTTCTTTACCTATATTTACATATGCTTTTAAATCTTGTGTTATAATAGGTTACAAAACTGTTTCCTAATTTTTCCATTCATTCTACTCAGTAAATAACTGTACTGTATTTTCTATAGACTGCATTATGAATGGTATGTTGGCAATAGTGTGCTGGTAAATGCTTAACTGCCTTTCTAAGACAATAAAGTCCTGAACTGTGGTATTTTTAGATTTCTGTGGTATAAATACTCTATGAAGGTCAGTTTTGAGCTATAATTTTGATAGATTTCAAACTACCAATTTAAAATCAGGGCAGGGACCGGGGATTTAGCTCAGTGGTTTCACCGCTTGCCTTGCAAGCACAAGGTGCCGAGTTCGATCCCTGGTACCAAAAAAAAAAAAAAAAAATCAGGGAATGTGCGATTGGATAGAGATATGCAATCACTGCATCATTACAGAACACTGACAAGATGCAGATATAAACAGATATAAAATAACCATAAGACCACAGATAATAGTAAAATGTAGTAATCTGAAATGGTGAATTTTGAATATTTCTTTTACTTTTTAATTATAACTTATTTTTTAAGTTAGATGATTTAATATTTAATGATGGCCATATTTAACTAGCAGCTCATAAGATTTCTGAAAATCTGAGCCAGCTCTAAGACCCTACTAAATGTCAAGGGTGTAATAATAAGACTATTTTTCTAAGAAAAAAATGTTACTTATTTTTCATTTAACTGAGACTAAAACTACTACCATATCTTTTCACTAGTTTTGATGCCTTTTACTCTTATTGTTGCTACCTCCTATTTACTTGTGACTTTATAGCAAGTACAGAATAATCAAGAATATTACAAATGGTTTCTATGGTTATTATACTAAAAATACTTTGGTTGATGGGCCAGGAAGTACACTTACTACTGCTTAAGGCTATTTTTTTTTCTTTCTTTCTTTCTTTTTTTTTTTTGCTGTGCTGGGTATCAAACCTAGGGTTCCATGCATGTTAGGCAAGTACTCTTATAACTAAGCTACACTTTCAGCTCAAGAATCCTTTTTTCTCATCACTTTATTGTTTGCAGTGACCTAAAAGAAAAGTTTTAAATAAGGACCTATCAAGATAAAATGCATTCAGGTGCATGCCACTAAAACATTTTATAGTTTGTATTCTTCCTTTGGTCAACTCTATCCCAAAAATAAACACATCTACATGTAAAATTATTAAGATTTTTGAGAATTTGATTCTGTCAAATTAAGTTTAAAAGGAAGAACATGGGCAAATGAATATAAAATTGAAACATACTATGATATTTACTAACACAGAAATTTGCATCTCCTGTTTCATGAACAAAATTTATTTTATTTCTTTTTTACATTTTCAATTTTTTGCATTACTCAAAATTAAACCCAGAGCCTCACAATGCCAGTCAAGCTACTCTACCACTGAGGTATATCCACAGCCCTTTAAAAAATTTTATTTGGAGAGGTCTTACTAAGTTGCCCAAGCTGGCCTTGAACTTGTGACCCTTCTGCCTCAGCCTCCTAAGTAGATGGGATTACAAAATTTATTGTTTATTACTTATTTATTAGTACATGTTTGCAATATATAAATTCATTTAAAAAATTACTCTTTAAATTCCCCATTTCAAAATTACTAAATGTTTTCATTTTGAACACAGAAGTAATTTAACTGAAATTAAAAACTATAAGTTCAATATAATTTTTTATACATTTCACATTTCCCCCCTTATTTTGTTAGTTTTATTCCTTTTTCACATCCAAAGGTTTACTTACTTGACAAAAATATAAAATATTACCATGAAAGGAGAGAGAAACCTGGTTAGTGAAGTCTAAAGCTTATACTGTACGTTTTTCATATTTTTCCTATTATGACTCTCTGAAAGCACTCAGATACAGAATTTTAAAATAAACTGCACTGCTGAATATGCACAATTTAGTTTTAAATCAGGAATCACTTCTTAGCCTTTTGGCTAAGATCAAGCAACTAAAAATTGTGCTTTCTTTAAAGAAGACAAAATTTAAAATAAATGTAACATCTGATTACCTGTTCTCCAATAATGTTTGGTTTTACTGGTCGACAAGGTAAGTGACAGATGCACATTCTGTAACCTAGAATGAAGAATGGCTGGCTGTCATTAAATATTCAACTAGTATTAAAAATTATAAACAAATTTTATTTGCTAAGAATTGGGATTAACTTTATACTTGCAATGTCATAATTATTTAAGTGATGCTTCAGTTTATACATGAGATATATATAAACAAATTCAAGTGATCTAGGTTTGAATTCTGATTTCGTTGCCTGTTTTATTTTAGATTAGTTGTTTTAAGGTAAATGCTCTTGAACTGGGCTATCTTTCCAGCCCCTTTTATTTTTATTTGGAGACAAGATCTTGCTAAGTTGCCCAGACTAACTTTGAATTTGTGATCCATCTGCCTCAGGCCTCCCAGTTGCTGGGTTCATAGGCATTCACCATCACACCTGGTAGCATTCAGTTTTATCAGATAGTTTCATCTTTTTATCAGATAGGCTTCATCTTTGCTTCATCCTATATTTGCCACTGTACAGTCTTTTCTTCATCCATGATATGACACTATCTTGGTTCACTTTTTTTTTTGGAGACAAGGTCTTGCTATGTAGCCCAGGATGGCCTCCAATTCATGGTCTTCCTGCCTCAGCCTCCTGAGTGCTGGGATTATAGGTGTAATCATGCTGAGCTTCTTTCCCATCCTTTATGATCTTCTTTATAGATCTTTTTCTGACTCTTATACCCTAAAATGTAGATATTCCTTAGGCTGGGTCAGCTATGTGCATTTTTTCCATGGTAACTTTCCTATTGGAAAGAATCCCAAACTATAGGTGGAACTGATAAATCATCCCTGAGATCCCTATTTCCAAGTGCCTATTAAGCATCTATGAATGATTATTCTGGCTAGCATCTCAAAAGCTACTCATCAGAACTAACTAAGTTTAATCAATCCCTTACCTTCTTTTCTTTTTACAGTGCTGGAGATTGAATGTAGGGCATTGCACTTACTGAGCTACATCTCCAGCCCTTATCAATTCCTCTTGAACTAGGTCTACTTTCGTTTTTTTTGGTACTGGGGATTGAACTTAGGACCTTGCGCTTGCCAGGCAGGCATGGCGCCACTGAGGTACATCACCCAGGTCTACTTTTCTGATAAATGAAAATGACTTAGTTTCTCCAACTCAAGCTAGCTTCTAGCCTATGGGTCATCACTCTTTTCTTCTTATACCTTACATCCTGTCATTTCTCTTGTATACATGAAGTATCCCAGAACTCAGCATGGCTGTCTCATTTTTTTCATCAATAAATACTTACGGTTATCTCATTTAGTCTCATGGCAAAGTACTACTGTACTCTGACAACTGCCAAATGTATAGCTCTACCCACAACCTCTCCCTGAAACCCAGTTCACATAGTGTAGCAGATATATCCAACCTATGGCTAGCGGGCTGCTTGGCCACCCACCTTTTGCGACAGAATCTTACTATGTAGTTCAAGTTGGCCTTAAATGCACTATGTAGCTCAGGCTGACCTTGAACTCATAATCTTCCCGTCTCAGTCTCTCAAGTGCTGGGGTTACACAGGTGTACCACCGCGTCAAGCTCTTTTTTAATGTTATAAAAGTGTATGAAAACAAGGGACATTTTGTTACTTATATACACTAAACTATTATACATTTTGTATGTGGCCCAATATAATTCCTTTTCATTCAACATGGCTCAGGAAAGCCAAAAGACTGCACATGTCTGGAGGATACCTTAACATTTCCACTTAGATGTATTTCAGTCTTTATACTCCTAAATCTGGGTCCTGGTGTTCTTCCTCATATTTTGTCCTAATGCAGCTGTCTCCAGCTCACAGGATGACTTCATTTTTCTGGCTGCTCAATTTCCAAATCCAAACATTCCTGGCTGTGTTTTTCACATCTCACATTCCTTTTTTTTTTTTTTTTTTTTTGGTACCAGGGATTGAACTTGGGTCCTTGTGCTTGCACAGCAGGCAGTGAAACCACTGAGCTAAATCCCCGGCCCACATCTCACATTCTTTGCTAGAGCATATCTTGTTGCTTGTACCTTCAACATATTTGCTAACTACTTTGAAGCCTGCCACTTAATATCAGGTTTTTTTAATCTTTGGAGACATGGTCTTGGTAAGTCATCCAGGCTAGCCTCAAACTTGTGATTCTCCTGCCTCAGCCTCTACAGTGGCCAGGGGTACAGGTGTGAGTTACCATGCTAAGCTATCACAAGCCATGTAAGAGAAGAAAATAAGAGACTAAATCTAAAAGTTAAACAATGGCAGAAACAGCTGTGTCGACACGTTTGTAATATCTGGACTCAGGGAAGCTAAGGCAGGAAGATTGAAAGTTTGAGCTAGGCTGGGCAACTTAGTGACTTACTGATATCCTGTCTTAAATTAAAAAAAAAAAAAAGGGCTGATATAGCTCAGTGTGAAGGCCCTGGGTTTAATTTCTAATGATGGGAAAAAAAAAAAGAATAGAGAAGAAATTTTTAAGTTAAAATAAAAACTTTCTTTTTTGCTAAGAAGCTAATAAACGTATGTAAATGTATGTAAAAGACTGGATGACCCCAGAATTAGTCTCCAATTCTCTTTTGTCTAAATAACTAATAACAATCTTCTACCAGTATGAAGAAAAAAATTCTGGCTTCTTTTCTGGGTGTCTCATATTGGGTATTTCATCCAGTTTGGTTGAGGTGTTCCACAACCATTATTTAATAATTTCTGTATCACATGATCACATACAATTACAATTATATACATGTTTAAGATTGACATTTCAGGGTTTTTGGAGACGAGACTTGGTTTTACTCAAATGGAATATTATGAAATCTTCCCTATATAATTGCTATTTTCATGAGTAGTCTTCTATAGAAATATTTCCAAGTTAGTTGGCATAAACAGAACATATTTTCTCAATGGCTGCATTACATTTCATCCTTTTTAATACCAAGTTTTTGTCACAAAGTACACAGTGCAATGGATACCCTTGTACACCAACCCTTGTCCTTTACTTCTCTAGCACTCACAGGAGAAAAACTGCCTGATGGAATGATCTATATTTTAAATTTTAAAAGATGGTGCCAGATTTTTCCAAAAATGGTGTAATAATTCACTATCTCAGAATCTAGGAATTGTTTTTATTTGATAACATCTTCTTTGTCTTTCCACTTTATTCTTTTTCTTGTAAGTCCTCTTGTTAATTTGCCCAAATTGCACTTTTGTCATTTTTTTCTAATTTCCATTTATCTAGACTAGAAAACGACTACGATTTCTGAATATTTACCTCATATCCCATCATCTTTCAGAACACTTTTAACTCTAGTAGTTTTTTAAGCTGTCAACAGAAAGCTGTTATCTTTTTCTAAATATTCATACCAATTATTTTATTTTCTTGCTTTACTACATTTACCTTGCCTTCAAAAATATGTGTAAAATAGAAGTTGTTCTACAAAAGAAAATGTGTAACTCATTTTATTTATTTATTTATGTATGTATGTATATTTTTTGAGACAGGGTCTCACTGTGTTGTTCAGACTGGCCTTGGACTCACTATGTAGCCCAGGCTGGCCTCGAACTTGCAATGATTCTCCTGCCTTGGTCTCCTGAGTGCTGCTATTATAGGCATGCATCACCATGCCTGGGTAAATGTGTAACTTATTAAAATATTGTTCAATAAGCTACACAGATTTCTAAGGCGAGAGTACCCAGTACAGAATAGAGGCTTAAGAAATTATTTTATTTTTTTGTGGTACTAGAGACTGAATCCAGAGCCTTTGCACTGAGTTACATTCTTAGCCTTTTAAAACCTTTTATTTTTTCATACTAGGGATTGAACTCAGGACCTCGGGCTTGCAAGTCAAGCACAGTGCTGTTGAGCTAAATCCCCAGGCCCTTAAAACTTTTTATTTTGAGACAGGTCTTGCTAAGCCCCTAAGTTGCCCTGGCTGGTATCAAGTTTGTGTTCTTCCTACCTTAGCCTTCCAGACTGCTGGCATCACAAGCATGTGCCACCATGCCTGGAACTAAACTTGTATCATATGTTTCTATTGCCTGTATAATTATATGGTCTTTTATTAAATACCATATATGGGACATTTTATTTCTCATAATTTAAAACTGAAAATGTTTATGCTTCACAATAAAATTTCAAAATTGGTAACAAATGTTGAATTTCATATATATAACATTTTACCTGCTGCGCAAGAGCAAGGACCCAAGTTCAATCCCTGGC